TTCCCTTCCTTTCTTTCTCCCTTCCTTCCCCTTCCTCCCTCCCTTCCTTTCCTTCTTGGACCAAGTGTTTACCAAGTTTCTACCTTTTATTAAATACAAAAAATTAAAAGTCTGTCCTTAAAAATTCCTTTTCTACACTAAGTGATGAGCTTTATAACTGAATAACAGTAACACAACTATTGTTTTTCTAAATTAGTTCATGTATTTTGAAATAATAACATTAGGGGTGCCTGGGTGGCTCAGCTGGTTAAGCATCTGCCTTTGGCTCAGATCATGATCTCAGGGTCTTGGGATTGAGCCCCACCCCATGTCCAGCTCCCTGCTCAGTGGAGAATCTGCTTCTCCCTCTCCCTTTGCCCCTTCCTCCTGCTCATGCTCTGAATCTTTCTCCAATAAATAAATAAAATCTTTTAAAAAATGATAAAATAATACTATTAAATTTTAGACTTGACTTTGTCAAGTAAATTTACTTTATTTGACAGAGAGAGATAGCAAGAGAGTGAACACAAGCAGGGGGAGCAGGAAGGGAGAAGCAGGCTCTCCTCTGAGAAGGGAGCCCAATGATATGGAGCTCAATCCCAGAACCCTGGGATCATGACCTTAGCCAAAGGCAGATGCTTAAATGATTGAGCCACCCAGGAGCCCCTCTAAAGGTCTCTGTTTAAAAAAAGAGTGAACTAAATTATAATTGTTAAGTTGTCAGATATCTTCAGGCTTATGTCATTATGGTAAACAGTAATAAAACTGGATATAGTAATCATGAAAATTTAATTGGTTTTTCCAAGAATACTTCCTTTGGAAATATCTGTATGATAAGACTTTTTAATGAATGTATTTCAAAATCAAACATAAACATGTTTGACAAGATACATCATAGAATGTTAGATTAGAAAAAGAGAGTTACAGATCATGTTGTGTAAATTTTATTCCATAATAAAAGATATCAAGTATCAGAGACTATTTCTAGGAGCAATGCAGGTTAGAAGCATAAGAAATACTACAAACTAAATCAGATTCTCTTGTTCCATGAATAACATGAACAGGATTAATTGAATAAAAAGAAATACCTAAATGCTATGACAAGCATAAAAAGTTGCTTTGTATAAACACCTCTCATTTTAAATTAGTGGCTAAATAAATCAAGGCTGTGTTCTATAGTAGCAACTCTGCTGGATTACTCAAGCTTTTTTTGGTTTAGTTTGGTTTTGTCTATTGGTTTGTCTGTTTTTTGATTAAATATCAACTTGTAGCAAATAGTAGAGTAACTGCTATAAATGGTTTTATCCTTCTCTCAATTTTTTCTTCCTGTTAGCATTACTACACTCTTTTTCAGATACTGTCTTAATCTTTAATTATTGTTCTATAATTGTCCTTGGGGGAAAACATCTGCTATTATCTACTCATTTTTTCTATTTTGCCTCAGATTCCCTGTGGACTATATCTTGTTGACATTGCTTTTTCTATTTGCCTTTGATGGCTTTTTACTCCAAGGGTCCTACAAAGATCAGAATATCTAGCTGTTTCATTTCCTATGGCAGTTAGGACACTTTTCTATGTTACTGTCATGTTATTGGATTCATGAAATGATTTTAGTGAAAGATAGCTATCAAATTATTCTACTTTGACACTTGTTCTTTTAATGATTTAAAATAATGAAATGTGGGATGCCTGGGTGGCTCAGTCAGTTAAGTAGCTGCCTTTGGCTCAGGTCATGATCCCAGCATCCTGGGATCAAGTCCCACATTGGGCTGCTTGCTTGGTGGGGAGCTTGCTTCTCCCTCTGCCTCTCCCTGCCATTCTGCCTGCCTGTGCACTCTCTCTTTCTGAAAAATAAATAAAATATTTTAAAAAAATAAAATAAAAAATAAAATAATGAAATGCTTGATATAGGTTCTAGTTAGTCTTTTTGACATCCTAATTTTTCAATGTCTTTTATAATCTGTTATTTAAATTAATTTCTATTATTAAAATGCAATGGATAATCATAAATTTCTTGCATTCCTTTTGAAAATATAAATTATTTTTTATCAGAATTATTAGATACACAAATTTTTATTTTTATAATCAAAATTCTGATAAAGAATTTTTTTGAGTAATACTGTTTTTAGAATAGTTCTAATAGTTTTTAGAATATAGTTCATGCACATATTTTAAATTTAATCCTAAGTACTGTTTATAGTACAATAAATGGTATTTAATGTTATTTTCCAGTTATTACTATTGCATAAAAATACAAATGATTTTTGGTGTGCCTGGATGGCTGAGTTGGTTAGGCACCCAAATCTTGATTTTAGCTCAGGTCATAATCTCAGGGTCCTGAGACTGAGCCCCACATCAGGCTCTGCACTCAATGGGAAGTCTGCTTAAGATTCCCTTCCTCTCCCACTACCCAGCCCCCCATCTGCCACACATACTCTCTCTAAAATAAATAAAATCTTTATAAACATAAAAATAATTGAAAACAGGGTCCTGAAGAAGTATTTGCATACCCATATTCAGTGCAACATTATTCACAATAATCAAGAGGTGAAAACAACCTGTGTCAATCAACAGATGAATGGATACACAAATGTCATATATACAGAAAAGGATTATTATTCAGCCTTAAAAGAGAAAGGAATCCTACCATTTGTAACAGCATGGATTAACCTAGATGTTATGGTAAGTGAAATAAGCCAAACATAGAAAAACAAATACTATGTGATATAAATTATATGAGGAATCAAAAATAGAAGAGAGTGGAATAGTAGTTGCCAGGGGCTGTGGGGGAGATATTAGTGAAAGGGTACAAAGTTTCAGTTACACAAAATAAAGAAGTCCTGGAGATCTATTATACAGCATAGAGACTATAGTTAACATTTTCTTGTATATTTAAGTTCCCTTAAATGTGCTAAGAAGGTAGATCTTATGTTGTGTTCTTATCATATACACCCTCCTCCTCCTCCTCCTCATCATCATCATCATCACAGATATAGTAATAATAAAGAGGGTGAGAAACTTTTGGTGGTAATAGATATGTTTATGGTATAGATTGTTGTGGTTGTGTCATGGATGTATACTTATTTCCAAAATTTTCAATTTATGTTCATTAAATATGCACAACTTTTTGTATTTCAATAATTTCTCAATAAAGTTGTTTAAAAAAATACAAGCAAGTAACTCATTTTTAAAGACTCCTCATGTAACCTGAAGAAAAATAAAAATGAAGAGGTATTGTTAATTGTTATGTGAGCATTATGTTGTATGAGTAGTTTTTATGCTTATTTTCTAATCTCTTTATTTATTTCTTCATCTTACTTTTTTTTAAAGATTTTATTTATTTGACACAGAGAGATCACAAGTAGGCAGAGAAATAGGCAGAGAGAGAGGAGGAAGCAGGCTCCCTGAAGAGCAGAGAGCTGGATGTGGGTCTCAATCCCAGGACCCTGAGATCATGACCTGAGCTGAAAGCAGAGGCTTTAACCCACTGAGCCACCCAGGTGCCCCATCTTATTTAAATGGATAAGACCTCCAGTACAAGACTGAATAAAAAAAGTGAGAGTCAACACCTTTTGACTGTAATCTAAATCAGAAGTCTTTAAGCCTTCAACATTAAGTTTGACATTAGTTGAAGGTTTTCCAAAGTGTTCTTAATACGGTAATGCTTTTTTTTTTTTCTTTCTTAAACCAATCCAGGGAGCAATAAATGCCAATGCCCTGGGGAAGGAAAAGGTTTGTACTGTAAAATAGAAAGAAGTCCAGATGGGACTGGACTACAGTGGTTGTGACAGTAGTATTTATGTGTTTTTTAATGTATATTATTTTCAAGTATTCCCTATTTTTAATTGCTAAGTATGCATATTCATTTATCATTCAGCAAGCTTATTATGCTTCCTTATTTGTTATAACCACTTATTCTCACTGGATTTTATAAACATTACTTGTAATATTTAAATATTATATCATGTTCATGATTAATATTTATGTTTTTCTTCTCTAATCAAATTGGATAAAACTTTTAGAACACTGCAGGAATCATCTGGCTTTATTTCCAACTTTAATGTGGTCATTTCTCTTTTCTTTACCTAAATTTTAGATAGTTAGGCTTTATCACAATAAGGTAAAGATGCTTATTAGGAATGCTGCAATTTTACATTTCCATCTGAATAATGAAGTCAATATGCTAATAATACATTTTTCTTTTTATTTTCCCAAATTTTAGTGGTATGAATGAGTAGTATTTATGTTGCCAACCTACAGGGTACTAACCTCCATGTTACAATTAGTTTCTTATATAATGAATATATTTAATATATATAAGGATATAATAAATATCCTTATTCTATTTCTTGAACATTTGGAGTGTTACTGTGCATAGTTCCTAAAAAAATGTGAAGAACTTGGAATAAATACATTTAGTGTGTCCCCGCTGAACAAATATAAAATTTCATTTGCCTCACTGATTTTTCTATGAGATAAATACACCTTATTGAATATGAATCAATTTTTGCCTCTTACTCTCCAGATTTTATCTGAAAAATCACTTCTTCTGTAAAGTCTTTCAAATTAGTGCTGCACTTAATGGCTTTCACAAGTATCCCTTTGGGTCACTGTGAATGTTTATCAGATGGGTATATATTTTAAAACCCAAGACACAATAAAGCAAAACCCTGGCAGAGTCTAAGAAGGATGGATTTCACTAGACTCTCATGGATGATATATAATCCACTCCAGCACTGTTGTAAATTTAATAATTTTAACAGAGTTAAAAATCACTGATTATCTTCTATTGCATGAAAGGACAAAAAGGAAACTGTATCTAATATAAAATCAAAAGTAAAATGAAAGATTGTTTTACTGAAATTAAAACAACCTTTTTTTTTTTTAAATCCAATGTATTTATTTAATATATTCATCACAAGGGCTCAACCAGAGACTTAATTTAAAAAACAAAAACAACACAAAAATGACACCACAGCTTAAGGTACACAGTCCTAGATAGAAATGAAGAAACAGACAGACTGTCTAAGGAGAAAATAAAAAGACAACACAAGGAGAGAGGCTGGACAGTCAGGGATCTTGGCCGGAGACCTGCTTTGAGTAGGTTTCTTGCAGATACTTCTTAAAGGCTGTGGGGTTTTTCCAGAGCTCGGCAGCGTGCGTGTTCAAAGGACTATCAATGTTTGGTTCTCCTAGCAGGCTCTGGATGGACAGCAGGATGGTCCTAACATCATACAGGGCTGACCTCTTGTCTTTCAGGATGTCCAGACAGATGTTCCCCTGGGTGTCCACGTTGGGGTGGTAGCAGGGTGTGAGGAACTTCACCGTGGGCGCATTGTAGGGGTAGCCACTGGGGAACTCCAAGGAGAGTTTATACCGCAGGTCTTCATACACTGTGCCAGCTGCTCCGTGGATGGTCCCCACCCATTTGAAAAGGTTGTCTGATTCAGGGAAGGCAGAAATCCCTTTGTCACCGGACATCATGAGGGTCATCAGCTCCTGCTGTAGCCTCTTGCCCACGGGGCCACGGGCGGCGCCCCCGCTGGGCTCGGCTCCTTTGCGGGCGGCGGCGACGCTGGCGGCAGCTGGGTAGCGGTTCTGGGAGGCCATCCGGGCGGCGCGAGGAGGGAGCCTTTTTTTTTTTTTTTAGGGAAATTTTAAGTGTGTATGTGTAAATGGCTGGGTGCGGGGGGGATGTATTCATATACCAAGAATCTGGATAACTGGCATCCTAAACATTATCTGGATGATAACATATTTTTGTAACTGAATTTAAAGAAAATATAACCAAATATGAATAGTATAAATTAAAAATAATATACATACTTATAGTTTTATATGTTCATCTCCTTTTTAAGTAAAGCCTATCCCTGTATAATTTCTGATGCTCTTATTTGTTGGCACTACTTATTCAGTAAACTTGATGTGTAATACTATGTAATTTTAAGGTGTATAGTGTGTTACTTTGATTTATGTATATACTATGATTGCTGATGTAGTGTTATCACATTAAATAATAATAGTACAATATTATTATCTATGTTCATCATACTGTGCTTTAGATTTCCGATTCATTTGCCACTTATTACAAGTTTGTACCCTTAAACATTATCTCTCTGATCTTTCCATCCCCTGGTAATTACCATTTTATTTTTTTTATAGGTTTAAATTTTTAAAATTCTATATGTATTGTATTTCTCTAACTCATCTTGTTTAGCATAATGTACTCATGGTTCATTTATGGTGTCTTAATGGGAGGCTATTTTCTTTTTTCACAACTAAATAATATTCCACTGTGTACATGTACCACATCATTTTTAGTCACTCATCTGTTGTTGGACATTCGGGTCATTTCCACATCTTGGCAATTATAGCAATGCTGCAATAAACATGAGAGTGCATATTTCATGTTGAAAGCCTCTTTTCATTGCCTTTGGGTGTTTAGCCATAAGTGGTGTTGCCTAATTCTATAGTATATCTGTCAATGCCACAATTTACATAAAACATCTCTGACTCAGTTTTGATATACATAGTATAATTATGAAATAGGTAATATTACATATATATATGTATGTATATATATATATATGATTTTTGTACATTTTCAATCTTATTCTGCTTTTATAGGAAATAATCAATATATAAATAGAAAAAATGTGAGAAAAGTAAAAGCAAAGGTGTAAGAATTTATTTTATAGCTTGAATATACTTTTGTTTCTCTCAGTGAAATTCTAAACTTTGATCTCAAGGTGTGAATGTTTAAAATTCTAAGTCCTACATTTTATATTAATAGATATAAATTGTCTTTCACAACAAGTATGTCTATTAATATAAAATAATTATGTTAAGAGGGCAGAATGCTCAATTTGAAAATGTCAACCTTCACAATTGAGATACATGAACTTACATTAATTAATTTTCTAGTCACTTGTTTCCATTACTGAGTTTTATCCATGACCTACACACCTTTTCCCATTTTTCTTATTAGAAATGAATTTCAAAGTATAATAAAAGATGAATACAAAGTCATTCTCTGATTGACTTTAAACACATTAACTAAGCTAAAACTTGTGAATTTTTGTTGATATTAAAATTTACAAAGTATCTTTTTAAAGTTCCTTTCACTAGGGTACATAGAACATCTATATCAAATTTGTATTGCTAATTCAAAACTAATTTAATCTCCAAACCTACAGTGAATCTTGGCAAGCCACATAAATAGATTCATTAACTGAACATTAGAAATAAATAACTTTTTTTCTTTTTTGTGACTTTATTTAGAAAAAGACAGTAACAGTAAATTATCATAATTAAATTTGTATTAATATATTACTCATCATTAATTATCTACTGATGTGAATATATTTTGAATTAGAAACATAAGCTAACATTTAAAAGAAACTTGTTCTCTTCAACAGCAAGAAGTTTCTAAATGTAACAAAGATACTATAAGTAAATCTCCTCTGAAATACCTTGTTTAAATAACAAATTCACTGCAAATTTCCTCCTCCTCAAAACTCTCTTAAGTGTAGGGACTTAGAATTAAGTATAGTAAAATGAGAAATGAAGAGAAAAGTTGTTCCTGCCCTAAATCTTTTATCTCTCAAAGTTATATCATTCTTTCATGGGGAGAGTGTAGAGAGGCAGTTTTTGCAAACAATACCCTGCAGGCTGCCAAGGAAATATGAAACTGGCCAAAACACAAAAAAGATCTTTCCTTCATGAAGCATGAAGATTAATCACTGAGAGCACTGTTGCATTTAATATAGGACATTTACAGTGTATGAACTGTGGTAAGTAAAGTAAATGAGAGCATATGACATGGGAACTCCCAGGATAAATATAACATACAAGAAAACACTGTAAAAGAAACATCTAAAATAGTAATGCTTGTTGTGCTATTGTGCAATATTGTAAAATATATTTTACCAATTATCAAAGTAACAGCATGCATTTTTATATATGAAATATATATATGTTATTAAAACAACTGTTGTTAAAGTATGTCTTTAAGTTTTTCCTACCTTCATTTTTATGCATAAGTGCATAAAATATCAAATAAGATACATTTTATTCATGTACTTCTTGTTAATTTGTAAAAGCTACTTGGTATGTTCATTACAAACATATTTTTCCAACTCTGTCACTGCTGTTTTGATTATTATAAATGGCATACACTAATTTTCAAACATACAATAAACTGTCATACAATTAAGTGTATCTATCTCTCAATTAAGGTCTTCTTCACAGTTGATATCATATATTATCATCTCACAATTATACTTGGATCGATTTCCGGGTTAGCTAAATAATCTACTGTTATGTCAATACCATATCTGTTGCATTACATAGATGGTCTCTTCACTCCCTCATCTTGTTTTTAATTTCCTTGACTTTTTAAAACCTTTTATTATTCTGATGAACTTCAGAATTATTGTATAGAATTAAAATATAAAATCTTGTGATATGGGTTGTAATTACTTATATTTAAATATTGATATGTAGAGAATTGATGGTCTATGAAATTAAATAATCCTAACCAAGGATATTGCATTTTTCCTTTTATTTTCACATATTGTTTTCTATTCTCCAATACAGAGTAATAGTTGTTGTTTCTTATATCTGGGCATTTCTTAATTTTTATTAATATTCTGAGAGAGCTTTATACCCCTTTTATTTCAATGTGTTTATTGCTATGGAGAAACATTACCTACTGATCCCTACACATTTAACTCAATATAGAACATACCTCAATACAGTTAAAAATTTTACAAATTTATCTCAAATCTTGATTTATACTTTTAAATGATTTTTACAATATTTTAGTAGAGTTTTCTAGTAAATACAAAGGTTATTATGGTAAAATAAAATCATACTTCTCTCCATGTACATTACTTCATTATATGAAACTATACCTTTAAGTTAATCATAAATAATAATTTTAATATCAAGAATTACTCTCAGTTACCTAAGTTTATTAAAATAAATTTAGTGTTTTTTCCTTTGAAATGAATTTTTTTAATTTTCTAAGTAGTTTTTATAAATTATTTCCCTCTAATAATTTCTCATCTTTTTAAGCAGGAAACTTGCTAAAGATTGACAGATGCCTTTTTAGCACTCATAGATACTACTATTTATTTTCTTTAGCCTTTTTTTATGAGAAAAACTGTGTCAATAAATTTTATACTACCAGATAACTATTAAAATCAAGGGATAAATACAATTTGTCAGTGTTTACTATCATTAGTTATTTTACTCAATTTTTGCATTTTATTTAGAATAGCCTATATACTTCTGTGGCATTTTCACATATATTTCTACTATTTTTATAATAATTTGGGGATATTTCACCTATTTTTTTTTCTTGAAGTTTTTATTTAAATTTCAGTTGGTTAACATACAGTATAATATTAGTTTCAGGAGTAGAATTTAGTAATTCATCACTTACATACAACACCCAGTGCTCACCATAACAAGTGCCCTTCCTTAATATCCAACATCCATTTAGCCTACCCACCCTGACCACCTACCCTCCAGCAATCCTCAGTTTGTTTTTATAGTTAAGAGATTGTTTCTTGGTTTGCCTCTTTTTTTTCATATGTTCATCTGTTTTGCTTCTTAAATTCCACATGAGTGAAATCATATTTTTCTTTGTCTGACTTATTTCACTTAGCATAATATTACTCTCTAGCTCTATCCACATCATTGCAAATGGCAAGATTTCATTTTTATGGCTAATGTTCCACTGAGAGTGTGAGTGTATGTATGTGTGTGTGTGTGTGTGTGTGTGTGTGTGTGTGTGTGTGTATTGTTAATAATGCTGCTATAAGTTTTAGGGTATATGTATAACTTTGAATCAATATTTTTATATCCTTTGGGTAAATACCTAGTAGTGCAATTTCTGGATCTTAAGGTAGTTCTATTTTTAGCTTTTTTTTTTTTTTAAGATTTTATTTATTTATTTGACAGAGATCACAAGCAGGCAGAGAGAGAGGAGGAAACAGGCTCCCTGCTGAGCAGAGAGCCCAATGAGAGGCTGGATTCCAGGATCCTGGGATCATGACCTGAGCTGAAGGCAGAGGCTTTAACCCACTGAGCCACCCAGGCACCCCTCTATTTTAGCTTTTTGAGGAACCTCTGTATTATTTTCCAGAATGGCTACACCAGTTTGTATTTCCACCAACAGTGTAAGAGTGTTCCTCTTTCTCTGCATCCTCACCAACACCTACTGTTTTCCATGTTGTTAATTTTAGTCATTCTCACTTCACCTATTTTTTATTTTAGAATGTTTTTAAAAGCACGGTATTACATGATTTTTAAGAAGTTGTGTGGGAACTCAACTATTTATAATGCCACTGTAATATCAAATGTTTAATCCTATTTCTAATACCACCTGACTATTGCTCAATGGAAAATAATTTGGATAAATTTATAATATGCTGTGAAATTTCAAGCTCTCCTAAATTTTAGTGAGATACAGACTGTATAAACTGAAAGAAAAAATCTCTAATAATCATTAAGAGTTATAAAATGCTTTGTCAGATAAAATAAAACCCTAGTTACAGTTTAAATAGAAATTTAAAGCTGTATGGTTCTAACAACTGTCTGTGAATTAATATTCCT